GGTATTTGCAATGAACAAGTCATTGGTCGTGCAGAATTCTATCATGCAGTCTCCAGCGTCGTTTCTATCACCAAGGCCATATTTTCCAACTACTCTTCCTTCCTGTTTATTTCCAATCACCAGTAATTATCAATATACCTTGATTGCATGTTTGCTCAATTTTAGATTGAAGAAGGCCATAGAACTCTTCAATTTCATCATCCCTGGATTTAGTGGTTGGTGCATAAATTTGAATAATAGTGGTATTAACTGGTTTTCCCTGTGGGTGTATGGATATTATCCTATCACAGACAGCGATGCATTCATGACAGATCTTGATATATTCTTTTTGATGATGAATGCAATGCCATTCCTCTTCAGTTTGTCATTCCTGGCGCAGTAAATCATGTTACTTGTCAGATTCAAAATGGCCAGTATCAGTACATTTCAGCTCACTAATGCCTAGGATATCTATGTTTATGCGTTCCATTTCATTTTTGACATATTTCCAATTTTCCTGGATTAATGCTTTGTACATTCCATGTTCCGATTATTAATAGGTGTTTACAGGTGTTTACAGCAGTTTCTCTTCATTTTGAGTTGTGCCCCATCAGCAAATGATAGTCCTGAGGCCTTTACTCCATTCACATCATCATAGTCAGTTCTACCTTGAGGCAGTTCTTCCCCAGTTGCCTTTTGAGTGCCTTCCAACTTAAGGGTCTCATCTTCTGACTCTATATATTGTAGTGCTCCTCATCGTGTTTCAATATTCAGTAATCTGATACGGTGTTCCACTGCTATTGATAAGATGTTCAGTGACTAAATATTGAAAATACCCATGGCATATCTTCAGAATCTGAAATGTAAAGGAAAATATAATTGTTGTCTTATGTAAAATTTATAAATGTGCATTTTATTTCTTTGTTACATTGTTCGGCTCCCATACTCGGAGACAGGTACATAATTGATGTAGCAATGGCATGACCTCTTGAGGAACAAGTTTGTTTTGCGAATCTTAACATTATCAGTCAATTTCTTAAAAGAAAGTCAGTCTGAAGGGAAAGGGAAAATAAAATATAAAATATAGTTATAATTTTTATTACTAAACTTTTCGTTTATTTTCTTGATATATTTTATTTCCTTTCATGGTGGTGGTGGTTTTGTTGTGGAGTTGATTCCAATTCATAGTGACCTGCGTAGGGTTTCCAGTGGAGCTCTCTGGTAGTGATTACAAGTCGGGTTGCTAACCTCAAGGTCAGCAGTTCGAAACTACCAGCTTTACACAGGAGAAAGATAAATATCCTTTGCTTTCTTGGTAGGTACATTTTGAAACACATTCATTGTTGCAAAAATTTGTATGATAGAGAATGAATTATGCATCCTCTTAATGTGCTTAATATCTGGTTTGTTAACATGTATAGAGTATTATCAAGTACCTTGTCCCTGCAGCTGATAATACAGAATGAAGCTCACTTGGTACATGGAACTTGTTGTGTTCAATAAATCTTAATATTTTCAGTATTTATTTGGATATTTGCTGTTAGTATTACCCTTGTTGGTAGTATTACGTTCATTGTATACTAGATGGCACCTACATGTATGCCAGGCGTATTTTAATGTTATAAATATTATTGTTTACAAAATGGAGGAAATAACTCTGTGCATAAATGCTATACAGATAAAAAAGTAACCTGATTGATTTCATTGCTATAGTTGGCTTATTCACGTTCCCTTACTTTTTGATGTCATCGGTGACTGGGTCCTCTGGTTGTTTAGCAGGATGTGCAAAAAGCATACCCTTGGGTTTGTATCATGGCAAAGAGTATTGCCAGCCTCTCCCCTGGCTGGATCAGCAGACATGGATGTACAAGATGGTTCTCTCAAAATGGATCAGAGATCCCTTATCTGTTAATATAATCCATCCTTGCTCAGTAACCAGTCATGCTGGATCCAATTGTGTATTAGGTTAATGTAGCAAGAGTTAGGTTCAACAGCCCAAGCCCCCCACCTCTTGTTTATTAGAAATAGTAAACTTCCCAGAGACCCACTGAGAAAAGCACCATACACAGGAGGGGGGAACCATAGGAGACAGTTGTCAGTGAAGGTGTTGAAGTGGTATGGGCCTCATAACCCCCAGCTTTGCACATGGATGACTCTGGGACCCTGTGTGAACTGTACTTCCGCTGGCACATTCGCTGGCACTGTTTCATATAGTGCCTTGCCAGTTCCCTACCGCTGTGGCTCTTGCTTTTCTGGTGTTCTGTGTGCTTGGCATCTATGGGTTTATGCTTTGGAAAATTGTGCCCCTGTTTGTTGATGTACTAAGAACATGTTTACCTTGCTTATTGGTTACTCTGTCCCTAATGTCAAGTTATAACTAAGCTTCTGGGTTTGTAGGTTCATTTTACAATTTAAAAATTGTACTTTGGGTTAAATGGGTTGGGGAAAAAGTTCAGCCTGCTTCTTTAATAGTAGCATGACATGACCTAGTTTTACTCTTTTGTTCTTACTCATTCAGGTGCTGCTTACTGTCAGTTTATGGACATGCTATTCCCGGGTTCCATTGCTTTGAAGAAAGTGAAATTCCAAGCTAAGCTAGAACATGAATATATCCAGAATTTCAAAATTCTGCAAGCAGGTTTTAAGAGAATGGGTGTTGACAAAGTAAGTAAATTTGTATCCTTTCATTTAGGTTAATGTTTTGTAACTAATTGAAGTTTCTAAGGATATAGCTGCTAGCCCTTGACTTTGGGCTTTACTTTTACCAATTTATATTGTTATTGTTGTTGTTAAGTGCTGTCGAGTCGATTCTGACCCATAGCGACCCTGTATAGGGTTTCCAAGGAGCATCTAGTGTGCTTAACCACCGACCTTGCAGTTCAAACGGCTTTGCAGTCTGGCATATTAACCCACAGCGCTACACCAATTTATATAGGTATCTTTTTTTTAGTTAGCACAGAATTTGCTGGGAACAAAATTTCCCTTTCCCATGCCTTCTTCTTCCTTACTGTCTGTGAAGGTGGTGGTGACTGTTTGAAGGAGTAAACCTATAAATTGGTGTTGGTGATTCCCCCCGCCCCCCAGTGTTCTGTGTAATTTCTTTTAGTCTTGTTCTAGTTTCTTAATCTCTGGATTTAACTTCTGTGAAGCCTATCAGATGTAGAATAGGTAGGTCCAGTAAAGAAGATTCTAAAAAACCCTGCTGTTTCTGGTCTCAGGATGATTCCTGGTAGGTACTGGGAATTTCCCCTCTTGCCTCCAGTGCTATTTGAAGGTACCAGAAATGTAGTCCAGTAGGCCTCATTAGGACAGGTATTACCTCTGGTTTAAGAAGTAATACATCATTGAAAAATTAGATTTGCTGCCCCCCTACCTCCCATCAGAAGGATTTTTCCTTTTAAGCCATATTCTTTGGAGATAACCATTTTTACTAAACCTATTAATAATCATCCCCTAATTATCTTGCTGCTGGTGGATTTTTGGTTTTTATTTACTTTGAAATTTTTAGTTTATTTACTTTTGTCTGTTAAGTGCCATGGAGGTCTATATAATATATAAAATATGCATTTATATTGTAAGAGTATTTAGTTGCCAGGCATAATACAAACTTTTAGGTTTTAGAAATGAAATTGCATTTTATTTTTGCATATAGGAAATTTTGAAGATACACATACATATAACGTTAAGATGCCCTATAAATCCCAACTGGGAGCATTTCATGTCCAATTTTGTTTCTGCTACATACCTTAGAGTCTTGGTGTGTAGCAGTAGGATAAGCACTCGTCTGCTAACTACAAGGTTGGTGGTTCAAACTCACTGGTTGTTTTTCAGAAAAGTACAGGATCACTATGAAACGGAACTGACTCATTAGGAGTTGGAATCAACTCAGCGGCTCTAACAACACCACCACCCTTATCTTACTCACCGTATTCCTGAATTATTTTGAAATAAATTCCAGGTGTAACATTTTATTAGCAAATAAAATTTCATATAAAATAAGTTTAAAAATTATATTTTTTCATTCAGAAGGGTTGTTAAGTGCCATCAAGTTGATTCTGATTAATAGCCACCCTGTATAGGGTTTCCAAAGGAGCTAGTTAATGTTGCATTTGTTGTTTATTTAACGTTTAGTATTAGTTATTGGTTCGTAAAACCTTTGCTAGTTTTGAAAAATCTTGGTAGAGACCAATAGATGAACTTCTAGATAGATCTTGAAATGTTCTTTTTGATGATGAATGCGACGCCATTCCTCTTTTATATATATGGATATATGTGAATGCCCATACATATAGATGGGCATACAGTGGCTCTATGCAATAATCACTGGACTGTGGACCACAGATGTCTTCCTACTTTCTTGGCATAGATAAGTGAGTGTCTCCAGTGCTGCATCAGTTTGTTGAAAGATTTCACTTTGTATTTCATCAATTCCCAGAGCCTTGTTCTTTGCACCTTGGACTCTTCCTTCAGGATCATTGACTCTTGATCATATGCTACCTTTTGAAATAGTTGAACATTGACCATTTATTTCTTTTTGGTACAGTGACTGTGTATTCTTTTCTTCTTTTGATGCTTTCTGCATCATTCAAAATTTTGCCCATTGTTGTTGAGTGCTGCCAAGTTGGTTCCAACTCATGTCAACCTGGTATAGGGTTTCTGAGGAGCAACTGGTTTGACCTTGTGGTTCACGGTCAAGTACTAATCTTATAGCACCACACCAGGAGACCGATTTTGCCCATGTTGATGTTGTTAAGTGCCTTTGAGTCTGTCTATTCCACCTCATAGCAACCCTGTACAGAGTTTCTGAGGAGCGACTGGTGAACTTGAAATGTCTACTTGTGGTTCAAACTGACCTTGCAGTCCAGCACATTAACCTGTAGTGCCATACGTTTGCTCATAGAATCCTTCAATAATGAAAGTCAAGTCTTGAATTTTTTCTTCAGTTCCCTTAGCTTGAGAATTACTGAGCGTGTTCTTCCCTGTTGGTTTTCTAAACTCCAGGTTTTTGCACATTTCATTATAATAGTTGGCTTTGTCTTCTTGAGGTTCACTTTGAAACTTCTGTTCAGCTCTTTTACGTCCTCACTTCTTGACCTGTTTAAGACAATACTTTCTTTAACACAGTTCTTTGCAGAAGCTTTGAGGTTTTATAAAGGTTTTTATTGTGGATTGAGTGAAAGTTAATAGGGCACATCATTAGTTTCACATTCAA